TTGCGCTTACCCGGGCCTATTCCCTATGCTGAATCCGAATATCCACATTGGGAAGCGCGAAAACTGCGAAAAAGGGCTCTAACGCAGGAGTGAAATCAAAAGTGGGCGGGGTCTTCCCCAAGGTGAATTCACGGTCCCAGCTTTCGGAGCGTCTTTTCAATCCCACTAACCGCCCTGACATCTCAAAGGACCAAGTGCGAATGCATGATCTGAAGTCGAAAGCGAAAAGATCGCTGCGGGAGCTGGGACCGTGAATTCACCCTGGGGAAGACCCCGCCCACTTTTGATTTCCCTCCTGCGTTGGAACCCTTTTTCGCCGTTTTCGCGCTTTCCAGTGTGGATTTTCGGATTCAGCGTAGCGAATAGGCCCGGGTAAGCACAAAATCTCAAAATCGAGTTTTTGCCCGGACACTGCCTTTAACCACTCGGACATCGCTGCACGGCAAGAGTCTGGCTCCACCCACAAAAATATGGTCTGGGGTGTTTCCGCTCGCAACGGAATAGGTTTTCCTATGCAGCGACAGATTCGCAAAAGCTTCGCACCGAGCAGGGTTCGAACCTACGCGGGCAATGCCCATTGGATTTCAAGTCCAACTCCTTAACCACTCGGACATCGCTCCTTGGCAAGAGTCTGGCTAAACCCACAAAAATATGGTCTGGGGTGTTTCCGCTCGCAACGGGATAATTTTTCCTATGCAGCGACAGATTCGCAAAAGCTTCGCAGCGAGCAGGGTTCGAACCTACGCGGGCAATGCCCATTGGATTTCAAGTCCAACTCCTTAACCACTCGGACATCGCTCCTTGGCAAGAGTCTGGCTCTACCCACAAAAATATGGTCTGGGGTGTTTCCGCTCGCAACGGGATAGGTTTTCCTATGCAGCGACAGATTCGCAAAAGCTTCGCAGCGAGCAGGGTTCGAACCTACGCGGGCAATGCCCATTGGATTTCAAGTCCAACTCCTTAACCACTCGGACATCGCTGCACGGCAAGAGTCTGGCTCCACCCACAAAAATATGGTCTGGGGTGTTTCCGCTCGCAACGGGATAATTTTTCCTATGCAGCGACAGATTCGCAACAGCTTCGCAGCGAGCAGGGTTCGAACCAGGGTAAAGCGGGGGGTGCGGCACGCCGCAGAGGGGGGTCGTATTGAGGAGTCAAAAGGGGAGGGGGTCGTAGTTAGGTGATCTGATTATAGCGATAACATGATATTCGTATCATATCCATAATTAGCACGTCAATTAACCCCTGTAGACAAAGTGTGAGCGAATTCTGAAGATTCAAGATACTAGGCTACCTAAGTGAAATGGTCAAATTCCAACATGGTTAACTTTGTTTTAAAGGTGAATTAGCTGTCCGTTTTTGCACTCAAGACAAAGCACTACTCCTTCTTTGTCCACCTCAGGAATCCCGCTTCAGAAGACCTCCAAACTGTGGAATTAGAAGCCAACCAAAATCTCATTTTTCCCATTTTTCGCTTTTGATGGCTGTGCTTTCACCAAATATTACTCAGAGCTAAGAAGACGAATCAGACTCAAAACATCCCTATGGAATCTACGAGGTTTAGGCTATCGATTCATATAAATATTGTCCGCTAAAAATGTTTTTTTGATATAGTTAATGGCCTGCGGCACCCCCCCCCCTCAAAACCTGCGGCTGCCGCAGGGGTGCCGCAGGGGTGCCGCAGGCCATTAACTATATCAAAAAAACATTTTTAGCGGACAATATTTATATGAATCGATAGCCTAAACCTCGTAGATTCCATAGGGATGTTTTGAGTCTGATTCGTCTTCTTAGCTCTGAGTAATATTTGGTGAAAGCACAGCCATCAAAAGCGAAAAATGGGAAAAATGAGATTTTGGTTGGCTTCTAATTCCACAGTTTGGAGGTCTTCTGAAGCGGAATTTTTGAGGTGGACAAAGGAGGAGTAGTGCTTTGTCTTGAGTGCAAAAACGGATAGCTAATTCACCTTTAAAACAAAGTTAACCATGTTGGAATTTGACCATTTCACTTAGGTAGCCTAGTATCTTGAATCTTCAGAATTCGCTCACACTTTGTCTACAGGGGGTATTTGACATGCTAATTATGGATATGTTGTCCATTATGTTTGACAGAGCTTTCAGGTAATACTATCTTAAGTGTATAGTTTAGGAGGGGGGTCTTATTAAGACAGCAATCAGGGGGGGGTCGTATCCGACGGTCGAGTGCCGCACCCCCCGCTTTACCCTGGTTCGAACCTACGCGGGCAATGCCCATTGGATTTCAAGTCCAACTCCTTAACCACTCGGACATCGCTCCTTGGCAAGAGTCTGGCTAAACCCACAAAAATATGGTCTGGGGTGTTTCCGCTCGCAACGGGATAATTTTTCCTATGCAGCGACAGATTCGCAAAGCTTCGCAGCGAGCAGGGTTCGAACCTACGCGGGCAATGCCCAATGGATTTCAAGTCCAACTCCTTAACCACTCGGACATCGCTGCACGGCAAGAGTCTGGCTCCACCCACAAAAATATGGTCTGGGGTGTTTCCGCTCGCAACGGGATAATTTTTCCTATGCAGCGACAGATTCGCAAAAGCTTCGCAGCGAGCAGGGTTCGAACCTACGCGGGCAATGCCCAATGGATTTCAAGTCCAACTCCTTAACCACTCTGACATCGTTGCACGGCAAGAGTCTGGCTCCACCCACAGAAATATGGTCTGGGGTGTTTCCGCTCGCAACGGGATAATTTTTCCTATGCAGCGACAGATTCGCAAAAGCTTCGCAGCGAGCAGGGTTCGAACCTACGCGGGCAATGCCCATTGGATTTCAAGTCCAACTCCTTAACCACTCGGACATCGCTCCTTGGCAAGAGTCTGGCTCCACCCACAAAAATATGGTCTGGGGTGTTTCCGCTCGCAACGGGATAATTTTTCCTATGCAGCGACAGATTCGCAAAAGCTTCGCAGCGAGCAGGGTTCGAACGTACGCGGGCAATGCCCATTGGATTTCAAGTCCAACTCCTTAACCACTCGGACATCGCTGCACGGCAAGAGTCTGGCTCCACCCACAAAAATATGGTCTGGGGTGTTTCCGCTCGCAACGGGATAATTTTTCCTATGCAGCGACAGATTCGCAAAAGCTTCGCAGCGAGCAGGGTTCGAACCTACGCGGGCAATGCCCAATGGATTTCAAGTCCAACTCCTTAACCACTCGGACATCGCTCCTTGGCAAGAGTCTGGCTAAACCCACAAAAATATGGTCCGTGGTGTTTCCGCTCGCAACGGGATAATTTTTCCTATGCAGCGACAGATTCGCAAAAGCTTCGCAGCGAGCAGGGTTCGTACCTACGCGGGCAATGCCCATTGGATTTCAAGTCCAACTCCTTAACCACTCGGACATCGCTGCACGGCAAGAGTCTGGCTCCACCCACAAAAATATGGTCCGGGGTGCCTCCGCTCGCAACGGGATAGGTTTTCCTATGCAGCGACAGATTCGCAAAAGCTTCGCAGCGAGCAGGGTTCGAACCTACGCGGGCAATGCCCATTGGATTTCAAGTCCAACTCCTTAACCACTCGGACATCGCTGCACGGCAAGAGTCTGGCTCCACCCACAAAAATATGGTCTGGGGTGCTTCCGCTCGCAACGGGATAGGTTTTCCTATGCAGCGACAGATTCGCAAAAGCTTCGCAGCGAGCAGGGTTCGAACCTAGGCGGGCAATGCCCATTGGATTTCAAGTCCAACTCCTTAAAGGCAGTGTCCGGGCAAAAAGTCGATTTTGAGATTTTGCGCTTACCCGGGCCTATTCCCTATGCTGAATCCGAATATCCACATTGGGAAGCGCGAAAACTGCGAAAAAGGGCTCTAACGCAGGAGTGAAATCAAAAGTGGGCGGGGTCTTCACCAAGGTGAATTCACGGTCCCAGCTTTCGGAGCGTCTTTTCAATCCCACTAACCGCCCTGACATCTCACGCACCAAGTGCGAATGCATGATCTGAAGTCGAAAGCGAAAAGATCGCTGCGGGAGCTGGGACCGTGAATTCACCCTGGGGAAGACCCCGCCCACTTTTGATTTCCCTCCTGCGTTGGAACCCTTTTTCGCCGTTTTCGCGCTTTCCAGTGAGGATTTTCGGATTCAGCGTAGCGAATAGGCCCGGGTAAGCACAAAATCTCAAAATCGAGTTTTTGCCCGGACACTGCCTTTAACCACTCGGACATCGCTGCACGGCAAGAGTCTGGCTCCACCCACAAAAATATGGTCTGGGGTGTTTCCGCTCGCAACGGGATAGGTTTTCCTAAGCAGCGACAGATTCGCAAAAGCTTCGCAGCGAGCAGGGTTCGAACCTACGCGGGCAATGCCCATTGGATTTCAAGTCCAACTCCTTAACCACTCGGACATCGCTGCACGGCAAGAGTCTGGCTCCACCCACAAAAATATGGTCTGGGGTGTTTCCGCTCGCAACGGGATAGGTTTTCCTATGCAGCGACAGATTCGCAAAAGCTTCGCAGCGAGCAGGGTTCGAACCTACGCGGGCAATGCCCATTGGATTTCAAGTCCAACTCCTTAACCACTCGGACATCGCTGCACGGCAAGAGTCTGGCTCCACCCACAAAAATATGGTCCGGGGTGCTTCCGCTCGCAAAGGAATAGGTTTTCCTATGCAGCGACAGATTCGCAAAAGTTCGCAGCGAGCAGGGTTCGAACCTACGCGGGCAATGCCCATTGGATTTCAAGTCCAACTCCTTAACCACTCGGACATCGCTGCACGGCAAGAGTCTGGCTCCACCCACAAAAATTTGGTCTAGGGTACTCGCACTTCATTCTCAATGGGAGGGGCTATCCGATGCAGCGTTCTCCAACAGTAATTTTCTAAACCTACCTGGCAATTTGCATTTTGAATCTAGAGCGCTTCTGCAGAGATGCTCTAGGAAGAATGTTGGAAGTTGCTGATGGCTGTTTGGCGCGCTCTTATCCTCTACTATAATAGGTGTCTTCGAAATATGTGAGCTGCTAACCTCTGTTTCAGGTTCGGGCCATCAACTCTACTTGGCTTCGTAGATGCGATGCGTCACATTTTCTGACCAATAATGCTCGATTTCTCAATCAGTTCACACCCTATCACACCATTTTCTCGTCTTTACCCGAAAGTTATTTTAAACTTTTTTGGAAGACTCGACTTGCACTCTATTATGTATACACAAATATCTCATCGCATTATGACTGGTGAGCTGCCATAAAAAGAGAGACTGTGAGAAACGCTTATAGTTTAGGTACTATAAGGCAGATGATGACACATATGTCGTCGTGGAGAATCTCAGAGCGTATTTGGCCACTCTTGATCCAAACAAGCCGTACTACATAGGATTTCGAGTGAAGAGAAGAATGGTGGGATTTCTATTTTTCAGCAATAAATTCTATGGCGCCTACTTTCTTCGACATAAACAGTTACTCTAGCTCGTATTATCATAGACAAAAGTTTTTCCAATTCAGTATGCTCATTCTATGAAATATCAAATGCGTTCTCTTCCCCTATAATCTTCACTGGAAGCACTTTCTCTATGATCAGCACAGACTATCACAAAGGTCTCACTCGCGGGATTGATTTAACGTTTTTCGCTGAGCTTTTGTAGATAACACACATGCGACAAAGTCTTTCTTCTTTTTTTGCACTTTGCAAACGCTGTACCTTATCGGATTATTCACAATTCTATGTACCGAGCAATTCACTGTTCTGGGATGTTTCCATCACTCTATCAAGACTATCATGTGTAATGTGACTCCGAGAATTACAAGTGGGGTTTTATGGGAGGTGTACAGTTGGTTTGAACTTCACCAGACTAATTAGACGATTTTCCTGATGATTTTACTTGTCTGAAATAAGTGTGACAAAGTCATTTGAATTTTCATTAACAAGACGCTGGTTGGAATTTCATTGCTGCCCTCTGTAACATACATACCACCAGTATAGGTCATATTCTACCGCCTTTTTTACAAATTTTTGTGAGTCTCTCATCTTCGGTAGTAAGACATGGGGGGGGGGGGGGTGCTTGATCGATATCATCACATTACTCGATGGTTTTTTTTAGTTGCAAAAAGGGACCGATTGCGATATGTCCTATTTGTCGCAAAGGTGCAGTTGAAATTTTGGTGGCTTTCAATTCCTTTCCAAACTATCTCGTAGGAAATGTTGGCACTGCGACCAAGCGAACAAATTTCTGAATAGGAACCGTGATGGGATATTTACATTTCCAAACCCACATTCCAAAACAGTAGTTTAAAGTAGTTTTAATCGAGTATTTTTAGCCAAAGCATGGATACAACGCTGGCGGAAGTGGGTATGCGATGAGTCGAGCAGCTATGAAGGTTTTTGCTGAGCGACTGTTTCATCAAAAATCTCTTTGTCCCTATCACGAATGGGAAGATTTAGCTGTAGCCAGGTATGTCTATCATTGTTTATACAATCCCCTGCGACTCGGGAAATCAACGAAACAACAGAACCCACTTATCCAGACACTAGTAGAACCAGCTGCATTTTTGCGACATCTTGAACAAAAATATAATTAGAAGTTTATAACTTCCAGTACCTCACCATAAAAAAGTTTCTTTTTTTCTAGAGCAAGCTGGCGATCTCTAATTATCTTTTTGAGGTGCCTCGCTAACGTAGGAATCTATCCCACCGACACCCGCGACGAATTACGCAGGCAGAGGTTTCTCCCTTGGACACCGGAGCAACATTATCAAGCAGATCTGACTAGATCATTCCTAATGGATCCCATAGAACATTGGGTAACTGCATATAACTGTCTTTGCACTATCACGTACTAAACATATTTATTTTTCAATTTGATGACATGCGTTAAGGGACCTGCTATTTTCCATGGAAATCTCATCAGCATGCATCACCTTGGTCCCGAAGAAATTCGGCTGATAGATGGACTATTGTACGGTGTTGCTGCTGGAATATGGAATCGGTCTGCAGCCAGAGTGGAACAAACAATCAATCGGCCTCCGGGATCAAAAAATACGTAATATATGTTTGTTGTCACGACCTAGTAGGCTTAAGCTAGCATGTCTCCTATAATGTTTAGCTTTCTTTTCGATACTCATCTGATGCATATCACTGAACTCATAACTGAAAATTCGCAATTATCGTGCTTTCGAACTTTGATATCACTGGGATACTGTACCTGTGTTCTTTTGCTGGTTATTCTTAAGAATATGAAGCTTGAACAGAACCCTTTCGAAGTTTGCTAACATACCCAACATAAGCAGATGTCAAGCAAAAGTGATACTAAATTATCTACGATCACTGCAGATACGGAAGAATTACTTGCTTGACGGTGCTGTCCTGATCATCATCCGAAAAACGAAACTGGGAAAAGCTTTGTTTTGTTAATCAAAAAAAAAGAATTAGTTCCAGCCGCTTTAAGAAGTCAGAAAAACATGTCGTAGTGTAAATTGTGAGAGCAAACCTAACACAAAAGGATTTTCCGTAATTCTGACATGAAAAACCATCGTTTGGTACTGAGACGGTCGTAAGGCGCGAAATCTCCCGGCATTCACTAAGGCCTAAGACATACCTAGCGCGATTCCTATCGCTGTGCGATTTGGCACAAGCGACTCTCTGTAATTCGTCGTTAATGCGTTTCCTTTGGTAAGAACTCAACCTAATTGCAACAACTTACACAAGCTACCCGCCTATGCGTTCGAGAAGCGCGCAGAATAAGTTTGTAGAAACCTGGCAAATCGCCAAGTCGCTTGAAAGTGGCGATATGAACAAATCGCGTGAAGTATGCCTTAGGCCTGAGGAAACTTTCCAGCTTGCCACAAACATTTTGAAATTGCCAAACAACTGAACAGTTACCTAGACAGCAAATGTCATCATCTGTCAAATCCTAACACTTTTGATGCATATCTGAGAAAAATACTGACGAAATGGTCACTAATGTCCGTAGCATTACGTTAGAAGGTGTGGGTTTTGTAGAAGGAAATAAACATGAACAGCATTAGCATTCTTTTTTTTTTCAGAGAATGCAGTCTACTGGTCATCAAGACAAGGTACGAAAGCCACTTCTCGTACCAAAGTTACTTGATTTCGCATGAGTTCACCTGCTTCACCGCATTTTTTTGTTGCAACAAATGTCAAAATGCATACTGAACTTCCCAATACAGAATATAAAACTTCATATTCTCCTTCCTATGCAATCATTGCATAGCGTTACGATAGAATAACAACGAATCATACAATTATCACAGAATCAATACTTATTAGAATCAATGTGATGCGAACTAATATAGCTCATAAAGACTTCGTAATTAACTATTCTGCACTTCATGCTATGAAAAATATGCTGTAGTCTTCCTTACCCATACGAAGTCAGTACAACTGTAGAAAAACTAGAGTCAAATGACCAGATTTGAACAATTAGTCAAAACTGCTCTCAGAACTTCTCTTATATCGTCAATCCTGACTTTCTGATCTCACAATTATTTCTAATACCTGCAGAAATTGTACACGAATATGAAGATCACAAAATAATTGCGGACGTCTTCACAAGCTTCAAATGAGAGGACTTAACAAAAACACGAATGATGGTATGATCATGAACCAACACGGCAGGCATTATGATTCTGTCTTTCGATACCGAGATTCTCGAAGCTTGTGTTAAAAAATGTTTTGTTCAGCTTCCTCATCGTGATGGCGACGAGCAGATAGGTGGAGTGCTTTTGTGGCAGGTTTGCATCAATTCGTCAAATTCAATAATGTTGAAAAGACTCATCATCTGCACTTCTTCCTTCATCAAATGATTCAGAGCCTAGAAAAAGCGATATAGGGTGATGATTGAAACATATGAATGACAGACTCACGGTGAGTGTGGATAACAGCAACATGAACTTAGCTACGCGACAGGTGGCATGAGGTGCATTGTCGACTTTCTGATTCCTTACGTAAGCATAGAGGGCATTTAAGAAGCGCTCCTTACTTTTGGAAACCACCGTTTTGCCCTCAGAGCTGAGCCCATGGTCTAAAAGTTGGTTCAGATTAGTCAGTGAGGCTAAGTTATAAGATGAGTAAAAGTCAAGTGCAATAACCCCTGGAAAATTGTTAGGTATTATTTTTAGAGCCCTTCGAGACCTCCACCGATTAACAGCGAACTTTAGAGTACAGCTACTTGTCCTTAGCATATCTTCGCAAAACAGTCACTCAGGCTCATAAGCCGGTCCCTTTTTCGAGAATTAAAAAATTCACACACTCTTTAAAAAGCGAAAAAAGAGAAAAGCAGGTTCTGTTGAATATTTTTGGCACCTCAAAAGTTCTGCCGGTAGATACGCAATGTTCATTTGTTTATTAGGTCGCCTCATAACTTTCTACGATTTCACCCTGAAAATTCTTGAGATCCACGGTGCCCACAAGGGTATAAACATATGATCGTCATTTGAATGTATTTGCTATGTAATCACATGTATAAGCGAAACAGAGTACCGCTACGGGCATGGTATGCCTTTCACTTTTATCTCTTTTTTTCTTTCTACCACGGGAAAATTACTGAAATGTATAACTGTGTATACGAATCCTTATGTATTGTACTTTGTGAGAAGATAGCAACACGAAGTTTCGCAGAGGTTTATGCTCGTTGTTTCAATAGCCGTCAACTTATCAGTAACTTATCAGATTTCTCCTGCTTACCGAAATATGATTACCTTCGCTTAATACACAAATGGCCAGCACGGTTTAATGAGCGTGAGAGCGTTTTATATGTTTCTTTCATCCTTTACTTCAGTCTTATAGTCACAGGTGGGCATTGTCTCAAACATGGTATCGTTGCACAGTCTCTTACGCAAAATCACAGTATCTCATAGTCATATGTTTCTCAATCTCTTATTACTCGAATACTGTACTGCTGGTAACTTATAGTGTTCCAAATACTCTAGGTTGAAAAAGATTTAGATGAACCTTCGGCGAATATGTTGTAGAGTTGACTCTGCTCTGTCAAATGGTAACCCAAGCCCACTGAACAAAGGAAAAGAATTGTGAGGAAATCTAATACATTGTTTGAGTTTACAACTTAGAGATCTGATAAGTACTGTGAGTTTCGGCAAAAAGTCGCAACAGGTGTGAAAACTACTGAGAAGTCATAAAAGTGATGTGTTTTTTGCAGAACCAATCAGGAAGAAGTTTCCTGATCCTTTTTGATACAGAGACAGAAACGAATACCACATTTTAAGTTCATTCCGAAAGCTTTTCAGAAATCTTTTGCAAGTCGGAGCGCTTACCTTCAGCAAACAAAAGGATTGCTTTGAGCAGAACAAATTCTACATCGTCCATAGCCATCGTACGCATTGGTCCAACAACGTAGCTCATCAGTCGAGGCATACATTGTTTGTAAAAATCGACAATGCTGAAAGACAGCAAGTTACCCTATTTCTATCTATCAAATAACTTCTTTGATTGAAAACTCACCTCGGATGTCCACCTTCAACGGGATGAAATGCGCCATTCGGGAAGCATAGTCCAGGTGCACCACACTTCATAGAATAGTATGACTGACATAACCTGTAATAAGTGACTTTAATTTAATTTAGAACATTGTGTATATTCGAAATGTGATCAACCTTCAAAGCATAGTTATGCATGTAGCAAAGTTCAGTGTTGTATTTGCCGAGCTGTTCTGTCCAAAGTAGTAAAGCACAAAAGCGATTTGAAATCGTTCAACAAAATCAAAAATCAGGAGTTACAAGAAATGCCAAAAAAATTTTTGAGCCAGGCCAAAGAGTGATTCTCAACGAGCTTTCCGTATGCATTCACAGCGGTTTGGCACAGCTAAGAATGGAAATGCTTCAAAGAAAAATTGCTGGTAAAATGTCATGTGTGAGCCTAAAAACAACTGATCATAGCGCTTTCAGCGCGATGTTTACAAACAATGGACGGTTCGATTTTATTTCTTAAAGCCATTGTAAACAAATCAGCAACCTCCAAATGAAATGTCAAATGCAGTTCGTAAAGTGTGCCTCTCTATACGATAGTAAAAATGCAAATTATGAGAGATCCACACAATAACTTTCAATGTTCATGTTTATATAGAGGTACCGTATCAATTAGATTCTTATTGTTACTTCGATTGCATTGTTTTCTTTATCTGTGCAACATTTTGACAAATAAAATAATGAGAATAGAAAATCGAAATAAAAACTAGAAGGGCAAGGACTGTGTATCCTCATATTCCACTGAGTTTTCCAACAAACAGCGCTCTCTAATTGTTATACTCCAAGTTTCATTTTCACAAAGAGAGGATATAGAAAGTCGATTATTCTCAGGGTCAGGTTAGAAAATCGCTTAACTTTTCTATTATGAACAGGCTTATGAAAAAAATGGTTGTTTTCTGCAAAAACTTTCTCAACAAAAACTTTTTCAACTTTTTAAATTCAACACTGTTCCACGCATTCTTCTGCTGTGACTTACTTTTTTGTAAGTTGTTTCATTACGATTTTGTGTTATTCCAATTTTGTTTGACTGTTACTGGTCAAGATATTCATGTATAAAAACAGAATGGAAGAAATTACAATATTACTGCTTGAGTTTCTTGTAAAAATGCAATTTTGTCCGTCCACATAAAAATAAAAAACCGCTCACCATCCATGAAGATTCAGCCGCCTTCTAGCTATAATATCCTGATCCTTCTCATTCAGCATCTGAAATTCTTCCAATCCTCTGCACCAATCAGAGAAATAGGTGAAATGACGTCGCCATCCTAGAAAGTTGAGCTGTCAGGGTAGGTTGGTGTGCCAGATACCAAAGAGGATAATTACCCACCATCAATTAAGTCTTCCGGTGTAAGAATGCGTTCGCCGGTGAATCGCATCGGATATCGAGGGCTAACTAGCATAGGCCTTCGGAACACCACTTCGAAAGGCAGGTTTATCTGAAATCTACTTGCACTAGTAACTTTTTGAGACTTTAAAATCATGATACCTGTGTTTTGGTGGCATTTATAGAGTAATCGGCTTCAATTGGTGTGTGGGAAAAAACCTGCAATTATATTATTGTACGTAGGTTTCAAAAGATATTAAATTAGCTTGAAAGGACAGAGGTGACTCCAATTCTACTAGCCATTCTCACTATGGAAGAGGAGGCGATAACGATTTTACCTGATTTTCCAGAGTCATGAGCGTTTCAGGAATGTTGAACAGATCATATGAGCTCGGAGTGGGGAGGTCGTGACACTCGGGTGGTGTCGGAGCTCGTTCCACCTTCACCTGCCGTTCCGAGCATTGAGGCGGAGGACTCATTGGCGGCTCAGTCTGGATCAGACTTATCATTCAGTTGGCAAGGCGAAGTGTGGTTCATAGAGATTTGTACTTGACTGGATTGTTCGCTCATCTCGGGTCGAATCCGTTTTCTTTTGTAGATGCCGTTTGCTAGCGGAGTCATCGGCATTGTCGTGCCAGATTTCACATTTCGATCGCGCTCGTTTTGCACAGCTGCAATTTGAAGTATTCATTTTCGAAATTCAGAAAGTTTGAACTTAACAATGCTCATAGCGCAATTAGGCTTAAATCTGTTCTCCATAGATTCATCATGCCCTTTTCATTAAGAACATTAGCAATAGCAAAATTACCAAAAGGTCTTGAATGTGCTGTTTACGAGCTACTAATGTATTTTCGGTAACAAAGAATACAAGTACTCAAAATGAAAACTAACAGTTGCGATTCAAAACTTCGAAAAATGAGATTAGTGGGTCGCAAACACCATAAAAGTGCGCTAACTGATTTTATGATCGAAGTTGCTACACGACGTAGATTTTCAGAAGACGTCATTCACTCACAGTCCGGATTCATGCCAACTTCGAAGCATTTCTTCAGTCGACACGAGCGACATACATTTCGGTGTTCCTTCACGACTGGACAGTCCCCTCCGAAACGACATGAATACTGGCGACGACTCCAAACACTAAATTATTATATCAGGTTGTCCGGAAAATAATGTCGCATGGCATCCTACCGCGACAGAATGACCACAAAAAACATCGAGTGGGATATCATTCGATAGAGCAAAGCAAGCTCTACAAGCTAGTTCACAAATATCTGCGGAGGTGTTCCTCCAACTGAAGTTCGAATCCAAAATATAAAAAATTTCAGACGCCCGAAAAATTGTATCTCCGTTCACAGAAGTCTTAGGGATCTCCAATTTGCACAGGCATGTACTCTCCACACTAGACATTCGCCTGTATAGTTTTTGGTATTTTTCCATGGCTACAGTACGAGAAATAAAAAGAGGTCAAAAGTGCGAATATGTCGCGTTTTTCGGGTTTTTTGCAAACAATTTGATTTTTCTCGAAAACTAGCGCTTGTCTAAAGCTGAAAATTCATGGTTATACTCCTAAAGGTTCATGCTACAGAATCACCCATGTGAGAGAAGCTCAGGATTGCTTTGGCAGAAACATACCAAATTTGGTTTTCTCAATTTTCAGCCATGGAAAAACCTCGAAAATGCGCGTACGAGTGTCTCGTATAGTGAGTCCATGCGTGAGCAAGTTAGGGGTCCTCAGGACTTCTCTGAACGGAGATATGGTTTTTTTCGTTTTTTTTCGGATCTTGAGTGCCTTGTGAAATTTGGCTTCAAACTTCACGCAAATCAAACCTGGCGCGAAGGTTCGAGCTTCATTTTGTAGAGCTTGCTCTGATCTATCGGTTGATACCCCATTCACATACTTTCGTGCGCACCCTGCTGCGATACTGCATGATAAAACAAAAAGCGACATTATTTTCCGGATAACCATATACTTAAAACATTATAACTCGATTCTCTATTTTCATGCCCAAATGTTACTTCATCTACTCCAAACAGAACTAAACTTGCTTTGATATTGCAGCTTTACCTAGATAGATTAGACAGAGAGAGAATTAGGATATATCGCCTTTGTAACAGAAAAGGAGGTACTAATTCGGCCTAACGTGCCTGACATGCAGCGCTATTTCCATATTTTGATACTGAGTTTTTTACGTGAGAGTGTGAGAAATTTTCTGCAATTTTGTCCCTTGGCTTTCGGTGATTTTGAATCGAAGAATTGTGTGTTTAAGTTGTCGATAAGACATAGTATGATGAGTGCGATGTAATATCGCTTTCTTACAAATTTGCTCCACAATAAGCTTGATTAATTTTTGGTCATTTCTGTAGAATTATGGAGGCCTTACACAAAAAAACGCTTAAATTTTCAGAGAAAATCTTAGCAGACAACGGAAAAAGACTAGAATCAGCTAATGAGTTGCTTACAATTAGCTATCCCTAATGATTTAGTATCCTTACCCAGTAAGCTGTTTCGATGAAAGCTGTTGCGCCTGGCTATGGCTAAAGCTTATTATTAAAATATCATGCATACTTTCTTCCCTAATCAAAAAAGAACTCAATTCAGCAAAGAACTCAATCTTCATAGAAGGCTACGGTGGTTTTCGTATATGCCGCACCTGTAAGACCTATGTAATAGGACAAAAACATCTCCTCTTCTGTTTTTCTACCAATGGTGAGGAACGTACTGTATAAATGGTACGTCAGAAAACTAACAATAAGGTCATAACAATTTTGGCTCATTCGCCCCCATAAGATCCGAATAGTAAAGATTTGCCCACCTCCTCCGGAAGAATCCCTTGCAGCCGTTGCAGGCGTTGATGCCGTAGTGCTTGCCGAAGGCGACGTCGCCGCAGACGTCGCAGATGAGCTTGTTCTGCGCGCTCAGGTCCATCGACGTGGACGGCGAGCTGTTCGCTGCAATGGCAAGCGATCTGCACAGCGAATGCATCGCAGCCAAAGTGCAAGTGAGTTCTGCTACTCGATCGAAAATCGCTCCAAAGAAAAGAGAAAGAACACCGCGGCCGACTTGCGTGAAGAGTTGAGTGTATCGACTGGGCACGGTGGCCGATATTTCTTCCGTACTTTCGAATGCATGAGGGAAAAAATTGCACGTGAACATTTTTTTGGTCGCCCAACGCCGCTCGTTAGTTCCACTATCGCAAAAGACAGGGTTGGCCTGATATGCTAGCGACTAGAAACAAACCGTCACAACTCGGATAATCGTCTACGTCTTCGAGCTTTCCTAGAAACGGTTCGAGTACTGGGTCAACCAGCACTTTCCTTTTTGGCATCTGAAAACATATGTGTACTGCTGATGGGCTTGAAAGATGGGCAGAGGAGTTTGTTGTACGAGAAAGAGAGATGCCTGGAGGCTTCATAAAACGTGAGACAAAAAGATTATTTGAACATTTTTCAGATGATCCGATGGATAAAACACGACCAGTGATACCTCAATACGGTAACAGTGAGCCGCCTTAGCACAAACTACTGTTTCTTTTATGTACTACAATTAGAGGGATTTTTATTTGTAGGTATGCCATGACATAACTCCGAAATCTTAAGTCAAATGATAAAGGAGAACACAGTCATTGACTGAAATTCGTCCTAGTGGAAACTGATAGAACTGATATACTTTTCCATTGAACAAACAGACTATAGTCTTCTGACGGGAAAGAACCAGCAAAAAAAAATAGAAAAAGTGCAAAAAGATCGTAGTTGACGATATGTATCGCCAAGTGGCCAATATGATAAAAGGGGAAATTCTGAAATAGATTACAAATTTGAAATTGGGGTATTCTTTGAAGTATACCTTTATGAACAGTTTAAATCATTTCCTCGTTACAAGTGAAGGTCGAAACATTCATGAGTGTTTTCCTACATATTATTGTTCTTTCTAGCTAGACACAGGCTGCAGAGACAAATTGGATGAGGATTACTCATGCATGCTTCAATTATTTTAAGCAACCTCACAAAAAATCTAAATCTTTGCAATAAGATCAAAAATTAGTAGAAAGGGATTTTGTAATCTACTTTCAACTAAGCAAACGTCTCCAACAATTATGGTCTTCAAGGAAACGACAGAAAAAAGTCGGTCTTCGAAAAAGAACAGACGACGTCGCAAATGATTCAGGAATCTCTACTAAAACATTTCCCCACAAGAACGTTTAACAATCTCCTTTGCCAGGCAAAATCATTTGGATAAAATACGGTTCTTTGAAGAAGGTGTGAGCACTCTTGGGCTAACGTAATATCTTTATAGAAAGCAGCAGCTCGTAAGCCCCCTTCGTAAAAATTAGTGTAAAACGAACAGTGATTGGAGGTTTATAAAGTTATCTATCTAAGTTATCTAGTTTATCTCAATACTTTTGAGTTTACAAGAGACCATAATATAGCGATACATTTAGAAAATTTTCGAGAATCTAGTTATTACTGCAATTCCCACATCACATTTGCAATCATCTCTACTTACTATGTACTCTCTACTTATATAAAGCAATCTTCCACTTTGTGCAGCTGTCTGAAAATGGGTTAGAATTGGCTGGATATAGATCATATATTGGATGCGTAAAGATAGAGCTAAGATCTAAAGTTCCTAAAAAGCACGTGAATATGGATAGAAGAACTCATGTAAGTAAAAATAATTTGTATAAATTGATCTGAAACGAGCTAGACAGTTAAATGCGAATTAGTGAAAAAAACAAAAATCATTAAAAAAATTTTTACTGTCTTTTCCATTTTCATTGTACTCTTTAGCACCAATGTTCGTTTTTTTTAACTCCAGCTTAATCGTAATCATTCGTGCTCGATAAGGAAAATATTCCCAAAGAATTCCCGAACAAAGAGTACTTTCTTCCAAAGAGTGGTTTTTGGGAATTTTATGGTGGAATGTAAACACAAAGTGGAACCAGTATGAGTCATAGATGTCTTACTTCTCATATGGGGCATCCCCATTGCAACCCAAAAATGAGCAGTAATATTTCTCAATCAATAAAAAAACAGCAGCGAACATGCCAGTCATCGCTACTGTTTCATTCTGCTTTCGATCAGCTGACTAATTCTGCCACTCAAGGGCCACCCGGTCTCATCTCACAAAGAACTCTAGGGTAGGAAAGTGCAAACAAGAGCAAATGTGCTGCAAAAACTGTTCGGAATTGCGGCTAAGAGATCGATGCGAACGAGAGAGGGAGGCAGGCGTGAGCGTCGCTGCACTATCAAGAGGGCACGAGCACTTCGTTCGAACAGCTTCCATCACGGTTTATCTCAGGAATCAATAGCTGTGCCGTATAGGTGGCGGGTTTGAGGTGGGCGGAAGCGGGTGAGGAGAAGGAGGTAAGTCGGCCGTGGTGAGCGGTGTTCAGAAGAGAGAAAAAATTCAAAACGACGAGCAGGAAGACTGTGAACGATGCGGTTCGATAGGGGCGAATAGTGGGTGCAGAGCGAACGACGATTGTTAGTGCGAACGGACTTTGGCGCGTTCGCGTCCGGCACAGCGGGCGGAACTCGCCGGCCTCGTCAGCACGTTCGCCGCGCTTGAAAAAACGTTCGCGCTGCCTGCTGCACGGCGACCACAGCCGCTTCAAACCCTCTTCAAAGACTGCCGTGGATTCTTCCACGACGGCCCTCTCTATTATTGAATTCGAAAGTTTTTGACCCACTGACGATGACGTGGACCAGTGGTGGCCCATGACAGATGGCCAGCAAGAAGGCGCGATTTATTTTCGGTTGTCACTAACATAAAATTCGGTTTCTGCGCTAGACAATTTTCCAAAGTTATCAAACATATTGCTTTAGCTTACTAGCTGTTCCAAGTTTCCATTTTCTGAAATCACGGCTTTTGCTGAAAAATTGTCCGAAGTATTTACTCTCTTGCTAATTGCACCTTCAGGAGTTTTTGACCTCCAGCGTTCATGTTTCTGATCCTTTTCGAAATAGCATAACCGGAAACCGTGCAACTACCCAATGTATCCAATTAGAAATTTGCCTCTTGAACGTTATAAAACACCAGGTGTGTGCAGTTGATACCTATTAGGGTGTATCATAATTTTTTACCGTTTTTACTACAACCGCCGTCTTTTTGTATCTTTCCTTCATCTGATGGGGCTTGAGTAATCATTCAATAGGGCAAAGCAAGCTCTACAAGATGGCTATCAAAAGTCTGCCCAAATCGTATCCCACGTGAAGTTTTAAGCTGAAATCTGACAGTAATCGAGAACGAACTTTTCTTTCAAAAATCGTATCTACGCTTCAAAGCATCTAAAAAATTCCCCATTTTTTCCACATTCAAATGAACACTTTTCAAATTTTCTCCATGGTTAGAAATGAAGGAAAAATGAATGGAGTAAAATGGCAAACTCCGTCCCTAGACGTCCTGAGCTCCTCCCACGCATGTGATCTCTCTGATAATTTTTTTTCATATGGCTCATACATAAAGAAGTACGATCATGTATTTGTACGCTTTGTAGGTGCCCCAGTTGTCGAGAAATGCTGATGTTTAGGGTAAAAACGGTAAAAAATTATAAGACACCCTAATAGCAGTGGCGGACCGAGGGGGGAGGGGGCAGGGGGGGGGGGGGGCGCCCCCCCCCCCCGAGAATGGGTCGCGAAATTTTTGAAACTTATATGGGTTATAAAAATGTGCAAATGAATTGTTTATTTTTGTAAATAATTAAAATATTTTTTGAAATTTTTTAAAAATTCAAATTAGCCTTATAAAAAAACTTTTTTCGGAGCGTGGCTGACGCCACGCCCCCATTCTCCAGATTTTAGGGGTTGGGGGCCCGCAAAAATTTTGAGAAGCACCCCAAAATTTTTTTCGGAGTGCGTGGCTAACGCCACACCTTGATCTAGAAAAAATTTTTGTCGCGCCCCCCCCCCGGTCCGAAATCCTGCGACCGCCACTGCCTAATAGTTAACAATAAAATTCGCTTCTCTTGACATACGCCCGCATTCCATGCTCTCTTCAGGAAGAATTCTTCAAGAAGCACGCAATTTTCTGAGATCCTTGCAAATGTGATGGGTTTTCACTACTCAAACTTTGAATTCCATATTTGCATCAATAACTGAGAGAACAAGCACCTTTTATAACCGTACCCATAAGGTCCAAAGCCAGAAAAGCTGTGCAAATCCTCGTATCGTTAATGAGTAAAGGCATTCCGCTCTGCCCATCCTCACACCGACCACGCCCCCATCAAAGGCGTGACTCCGATCCCGCCCACCAACGATTGCCTTTTAATGCGTTTTGACATGAGAAGCACACTCCAAACACATGCAGACCAGACAGCCCATTCCATCATTGGAGGGGGGGGTGTTTTCTTAGTGAACTTCATGTGGAATTAGAGCTATAAAAGTTATGGAACATAAAAAACTTAGAAATTGAGATAAACCTGGATGATACCTTTAAAGGCAGTGTCCAGGCAAATCTGGACCTATGGGGATTTTACGTGGAAAGTACTTTTGGGGCCCTAACTAAGGCACTGCCCAAGCGGCAGCACAAATAGTGCTCTAGCGGCTGAGATATTCCTCTCGAAACTGGATCCCGCGATCGTATTCGCATGGATTCATGGCAGTTTCGCGCTGGGGTCCACGCTTTGCGCCATGAATCCATGCGAAATACGATCGCGGGGTCCAGTTTCGAGGGGAACATCTCAGCCGTTAGAGCACTACCTGAGCTGCCGGTTGGGCAGGGTTTAGTTAGGGCCCCAAAATTACGATGCAGTGAGATCCCCATGTGTCCAGACTTGCCTGGACGCCTTAAGTAGCAATACTAATGCGGTGCAGTCCCCCTAAGCAACAGGAGTGCTAGTCACTTCCATTTTCATCATTAACAACAACTAACCGGCGCTCAAGGTGTGAGCCATAACGAGGCAAATCGGAATTGTTCTTGTCTTGGAAGGCTTGTTGTTGCACCCAAAATTCTTTATACACTCAACACACCACTACTCAGAGATTAGGTGGGTTAAGCCGATGACGTGTGGCTCATGGCACCTTTCAAATTCGGTTCAAAATTCATTTTTTTCAGGGCCCTTGCAAGTGAGATGGCCTCACAACGACGGTTCTGTTTCCTGCTAATTGCAGTACCCGAAAAGAGCCTTAGGTGAAGGCGAAAAATATCAGACCATGCTAAAAAGTCGTGAAAACCTCATTGAAGTCAACGGGTTAAATCATCCCCCCACGCAGTCTTTTCTTTGGAAGTTACGAGTAGTGATCAGTCGCTCACTCTTGATCGAGAAAAGTTTCCAGTAAAAAGTCTTCGATTATTGGTGAACGCAGGTACAGAGTGCAAGTGGATAAC